GATCATTAGAGCATAAGAAAAAAACAAGTATATAATTTTTCCCTCAGTGTTTCCTAATGCGGAGTATAGAGACTACACTGTTACTTTGTTTATGTTCAATTGTGTGTGATGGTATTTGTTTCTATTATTATTTTCTGAACCAGTTTGTTATTCTTTTCTGCTGTCTTCAGTATCCTGTATAAAATGCTCGTATGACGTACTCTGGAGAAGCATTTCCTTCTTCTTGGCTTTAAAAATTTTTTAAGATGATGTCATCTGATATTTCCTCATTCTTATAAGAAATGATGGCATAATAGGTAAATAAAGCCTGTGCATTCTTTATCCATGCCATTCATAATTTTATAGACTTCTGACCCTGTTGTCTCTTTAGGAGTCTTAATTCTTTCATCTTTTCACATACAGAGACATTCCAGCATTTTTAACCAAGTTTTTGTCCTGTTTGTAACTTTTCTACTGGCACTGGATATTTTATAGTTCGTAGGAAGCTTATTACTTACTATTGCCTCCAGAAGAAATCTAAACAAATAATTTAAGATGCAGAAGTCTATCCTGTAGGCTTTTCAAATTAAGTGAGATTAATTCCATACCAAATTATTTCATTTCAATGTTAAGTACAGACATTGAAGGCCTGTCTCATTATCTTAATGTGAAAATATAACTGTTCTGTTCTCAGTTATTCTTAGTCTGGCCATTTCATACTGTATTTGACAAGATCCTTGTTTGTAATTTTCTTAACGTTTTTCTAAGCAATTCATTTTTTTGAACTATGTCACCTGTAAGTGATAGTAAGCAATATCAGTATTGACTTTTATTTTGATTTATTGAAGTAAAAGGTTAATGAAGTAAAATTATTCAAGTAAAACAATAGTAAATAATAAGATTGTAAAACTTGTTTGCAAAATGTATAAATGAAGTGTAAGTAGTCCTAGAACTTCAAAAATATTTGATCTGTAGGTGTGTTTCAAATAATACTATCAGAAATACATTTTCATCCTCGGGGAAATATTTACAATTCACAGTAATTTCCATTTTTGGTTGGCAACAAAATGGAATTTTGAAGGACGGTGATAAAAGAAAGCACAACATGTTTAGAAAATCCACTATCCTGGTAGTGGTTAGTGTACATAGTTCAAATGTGAGACACAGGCTCTGTTTAACTTATTTAGAATAGATACCTGAACCTTGTTCTGCTGCACCCAAAATAAGTAACGACCAAAAGCTTTCAGTGGATTGTAGAACGCCTCACCTGTTTTTCTTGAACCTGAAAAAACAATATTAGTTCACATTTGTCACAGCCAGCACATTTCAGCAGGCTGTTCTGAGTCCCATGAAATTTTTTATTAAAAAAAAAAAAAAGGAATTGTCACTGAGCAGTTTTTCTTTTCCTCATATTACATGAATGAGACACTCCTTATGCATGCAGAGTTCTCTGTTTTGTATTCTCTCTTTGCTCTAGCAAATCATCATGTGCTTTGTATTTTCCACTTTTTTTTTTTATTTGCAGTATTTAATAATCTCTCCGGTTTATATTTTGATTACAGGTTTCTCTTGGCCTTCTACATGCTCGAGCTACTCATATCCTCTGGCCTCCGCAACGCTGGCAGAAGTTACAACCAGTGCTACCTCCAGAGCGCAAACCACTCCAGAGAGCGCAAGAGTGATCTAAATGTTCAGATGTAAAAACAATGAAGTGAAGTTCAACCAGGAAGAGCTGCAATGATTATACCATTACCCATAAGAGCTTTGCCAAGTGTGCTTTAACATCAGGTACCATATTGGCAAATACACGTGGCATCTTCATGTTAAAAGGCCACCTTAAGTGTGAAGTATTTTTGGGTTTTTGTGGGTTTTTTTGTTGTTGTTAGGTGGTTGGTGTTTTTTTTTTTAATCTAAAACAGTAGCGCATTGTGCATTATTTTGGTTTGAAATAATTGGTTGCAGAAGGTTTGAATGTTCACCTTTTCTGGAAGCAGTAAAATACTTGACTTCTTATGTCTGTACCTGTGGTTCTCTGGATAAGAAATTATTACAACCTTCAATAAAATATTTTTATCTTCTACATTTTGCTTGTTTCTTTAGTAACTGAACAGATCCTCTATTACTGGCATTGACGAAAAGAAATTTAAGACATAATATGCTTTGGATTGTCTTATAATTTCTAATACTGAAGAATAGGTACTTTTCTATAGCTGAAAAGTTAATCATTGTCCTCTTGTATTTTTTTTTCAAAAAGCTAATGAGATTTTTTAATTTTAATGCAGCTTGTGTTAATTATTAAATTCGGTACATATTACTTATTTTTAATTTCTCTTTCAGGAGTGTTTAATGTTAACATTCCTTGTATATATTGCTGAAGTAGATATTAAATGAAAATATTTAAACTATATTGCAGTATCTGAAAGCAATGTTTCATTCATTTCTCAAGTATAGTAAATCATTGTTACTGTTGATTGCCACATTTCTTTGAAATACGTAATACGATAATACTAGTACTATAAATATATAATTAATACTGCAAATACACTCTGTGAATATGCAGTAAAGCTTCTGCACACATTATAAGTGAAAAGAACTTGAAAAATTGCACATTTTCATCTGCAGATTAATATGAGCCAGCTTATTTTCATATTTATTGAATTTTCTTTCAGATAGGATAGTATTTTAAAAATTTAACAAATCACTCAAAAGATTTTTAAATATTTAATCTAAAATCAGGCAATTATCAGAACTTCAGACAAGATGAAAGTAAACCACAGAGTCATAGAATAGTTTGGGTTGGAAGGGACCTTTAAAGGTCATCTAGTTCAATCCCCCCTGCAATGAGCCGGGACATCTTCAACTACATCAGGTTGCTCAGAGCCCCGTCCAACCTGACCTGGAATGTTGCCAGGGATGGGGCATCTACCACCTCTCTGGGCAACCTGTGACAGTGATGAAAAATTTCTTCCTTATATCTAGTCTAAATCTACCCTCTTTTAGTTTAAAACCATTACCCCTTGTCCTATCACTACAGGCCCTGATGAAAAGTCTGTCCCCATCTTTCTCATAAGTCCCGTTTACTGGAAGGCTGCAGTAAGGTCTCCCCGGTGCCTTCTCTTCTCCAGGTTGAACAACCCCAACTCTCTCAAGTTTTTGAAGTCAAATATATAGGTCTTTGAAATCACACATCTGTCCGTCAGTTAAATGATAGGTTCAATCACATGAAAACTATTGCTATCTAACCTTCTTCTTAAATCATCCAGCTCTGTAGACTCTCTGAATACTTTACTGTCTATGTGTGCCATGTTCTTTGTTCCAAAATGCTGTTTCATAGGTCTCTGAACTCATCTTAGTTAAAACTAATGCAGTTTGTTTGGGTGTTAATAACAGTTAAATTCACAATTATTTTGTTTGGCAAAAGTTGATTGTAAACAGTAGTTTGCAGGGTTTTTTTTTTTTTCAAATTAATTACGAAAACTGAAATGAGTTCAAGAAATTTACTGCACTTATAATTAATTCTGGTGACAAAGATACAAACACACATCCGTGAAAGGAGAAAGGAGGAGACAAACATAAAAAGAAGTGGAACAGAACCAGATAAGATCAGTATTATTTCTCTCAGCTGTTCAGGTCTTCATTTCACTTCTTTCCACTCATTCAATCCCTCTGTTCTCCTCCTCTTGAATATCATCTGGGCAGAAGATGTTATATATATTGACAAGCTGGAAAATTTGGTTGGCTGTTCTGATTCACTGATATGTATTCAACAAAACCAGTGCCAGAGAGTCATCAACAAAAACAAAGTCATTTGTTCCTCAGTTATTATCTTAATTACATTTTTCTATTCATGTTGTCTAAAGATACAGCCAAATGTGTCTGCATCAGCTACATTTCCAAAAAGATTCTTTGAAGTTCCTCAGGACTGCAGACCTTATTTTCCAATGGGGAAGAAGGATACAGAGATATGTGAGAATAAAACTACAGATGAGAGAGAACCAAGGGCTATAAGAAAGCTCTTAATGGGGTAACAGATCTTGCAGCCCAACAGAGGCGAAACTGTTGCAGCTCCATGTCCCCAGGACCATCCAGCAGCAAGGCCAAGCGTGCATTCTGCCAGGACACACACACACACACAGAGTATCTTAAGTCTGTATACATGTGACTGGCCACACAAGTCAACATAGATAAATCCACTCAATACTCCCATAAACGTTAATGGCACCGGGGACCTCATCCTGTTCCTCTCGCTGGCTGATCAAGATGAAAATACGTAAGTGGGAAATATATAAAAATGCATACAGCGTGGATGCCTCCAGCATCAGGTACTTACTGTGTCAAGTATACAGGATCCTAGTCTCCCCATTTACTGGCACCTGGACAAACAAACCCCCAGCCACCCTCCCATGGACCCCTCCAGTAACTGGCCTTAGACACCCAGTCCATCCCGGTCCTTCTTTTAGCTGGACCTGGATCCTCACTCTCCCCATGCACACATGTACACACATAAATGGGTCTCCCAATTGAACTGCACTTTTGGCAGCTGCCTGGGGCTCCACGGTGCCTCTGTTAGCCAAATCCATCTGTGGTCTTACCTCCAGGGACACTCTCACCCCACCCTCCAGGCCACGTGCCCCACTTACTGACTGGTCTGGATTGGTGCTGGCCAGTGTCATTCACTGACAGTGCACCCCAGTCGCACCCCATACTGGCACCACAGGCACACGGGCCTCCCACCCCTGGTCCAGCCCAGCCACTGGCACTCAGACCCTCCTCACACATGCACACGGCCCAGGGAGCTCTGCACCCAGGAAAATCACTAGAAATGGAGTTTGATGAGACAGACTGCACTGATCAGGCCAACAGACCAGCACCTGGTATGTGCAATTGGTTCTTTTCATACCCTTCTCTCTCTATTTTTCCACACTTGATCTTCCCCAAACCACCCTCGTTTCCCTGACTTTAGTCACGTAAACATCCCACAAGAAGTCTTGAGCAGTACTGAAATGCTCTTCCCTGCACCCTACAGCAAACCCCATACCCCTGGGCACTGTCACTGCTCTGTGGGGCAACCCAGAGAGACTCCCCAGTGACTCCTGGTGTTCGTTGTCCCCTGTGGGACTGATGCAGTGGCTCGTGCCTTGAGATGCACATCAGTTATTTTATACTTTCTCTGATTAGGTATTCTGTGACTGGTAAACTCAGTGGTGCCTTTGATGCTGGGCAGGCAGGCAGTTACATCAATATATACTTCCTTTAGACTTATGAGGTTCATTACATGCAAGTCTAACACTATTACAGTAGCCTCATGTACCACTTCCTTGTAATAAGCATCTAAGGAACCTGATTCATGTAAAAGAAGCTATTTTGCTACATATTGGCATCAGATTAATGTGCACGACATTTTACGTCATTACATAACTTAGTGAACAGAAATAGCTCCATGAAGTCATAAGCATTTGAGTAACTTAATGTAACAGATCATTCAGTATCCAGAGCATGAAGAGTAAACCCATATAGCCAAAACAGAAAGAACCAGGCAGCAGCTATGGCACATGACCACATATTTAAACGTGTTATTATTTTATTGATATACTAAGATATTCGATTTTCAACCTTCAGATGTGAAACACATGACGAGAAGCCTGTTCTGGCAGTAATGAAATCAGTGGCAAAATTCTCATGGACTTAAGCCATCATGATTAACTTTCCAAGTCAGCATCTTGGAAATCCCATCTACAAGAAAGGCCAGATGGAGGATGCTGGGAACTACAGGCCTGTCAGC